TTAGTAATCTGATAATTTAAAACTAATCTTGTAGAGTATAAACCATCATCAGAAATCAAAATACCATATTTCAATAATGGCTCAGCTAATTGTTTAATTGTAATGTTGATGGATTTAGTATCAATAAATATCATGTTTGTATGTACTGGTTTAGTTATCGTAATACCATAATGTCTCAATCCTTTTTCTAATTGATTGGTTAGTTCATGTGAATGTACTATTGCGTTAGGAAAATTGGTCATTATTGCATATTTTGCTGCTGCTGCCAAACTTCCTGATTGATGCCAACTTTGATAAAGAGATTCATAGATAGAAGAAGGGATAAAGAATAAATGATCAATTAACAGGTTAGTTGTGATTCATATTCTATGGAAAAATTATACTTACGCTCCACCAAACAATCTTCTAAAAAGTCTTGCTCTATCGATAAAGTTTTGATTGCCAACTAAGACAGAACCAATAGGTGCACCAATACCTTTGGACAGACATAAACTAACGGAATCAAAATATTTACAATAGTCTTGTATCGGAATACCAGTTGCAGCACTTGCATTCCATAACCTTGCACCATCCAAATGCGTTTTAATGGATGTGCTTCTAGAAAGTTTAGAAATTTGTATGATTTCTTCAATTGGCATTACCAAACCATCCAAAGTATTCTCTAAAGAAATTAATTTTGTAGGAGTTGAAAAAACGTCATAAACATCATCCTTGATAATTTTTGGTTGCAGATCATCAATTGCTGTTAGATAAATTTGATTTTTTGGTGTGATGGGAATGGTCGTTGCTTGTGAATGATATGCAACACCGCCTAATTCATAATTGTGTAAATGAGATCTTGCATCACATAGTATTGAATGTGGTGGTTGAGCTAAATGTGTTCTGATGGCAATTTGATTTGTCTTTATTTTTGAATTTGAAAAAAAAATTTTTAATAAATTTTATCATTTATTTATTTAATTTTTTTTTTGAAGAAAAATAATTTACCATTGTTCCAGAAACAGCAAATAAAGCTGCCTGATGTCCTGTCAAATCTGCCATAAAATTTTCAAGACGTGGATAATGTTTATTTGAAAAATAACGAGGTTAAAAAAGATAAGTTTTGTGAAATTGTAATGAGGCATTTCAATATCCTTCCAATCTATAATGGTATTCATTTGAGCAATAAAAACAAGAAATTACTAAATATAAGGGAAAAATAGATACATAAAAGCCCAAAATATGGGCGAAATCTTTATTAAATAATTATTCGTGGGTTGCATTGGAGAAACATGTTGGCCTAAGACCGCCTCGAAAGGCAGGCATTAACAGTTTCTATTCTTTGGCCCGCTATTATTGCATAGTTCTATTACTACTATGGTTACAAATTTTTATAAAAAAATTCGAAATTATTCTAATGCCGGTGCCTTCTTCATCAAGACGTCATTTATTTTTATATGACTTGAACCTACACGGAAAAAAATTACGATTAACATGATGCCATCAAAATAACTAACAATGCTATCCATGGTATTGCTTACCTGCCAATACGGCTCTATTTACGGCACTGTGGCCGTTATTATTGAAAATCCTATAAGTAGGAATATAGAAAGAGCTTTAGGCAATAATTTTTCGAATTTATTATTCATTTGATTTTTTAACCGAAAAAATCGATTTTTAATTTTGTTATTTTTTTGATTTTTCCACCCTGTCGCCAAGTTAACAAAAACTCGTATTCCATGTAAAAAAATGCAGGAAACAAACCAGTACGTTTTAAAATATTATCATCAAAACACTAAAAAAAAGTGTGATGTCGGGGAGATATTATTTTTACGATTGTCCCAGAACCAAGTTTACCATTATGACCTTTAGCATGTTGATACATCTCCTCAAGGAATGTAATGCAAGCATTTGGATCATCCATGTATGGGAGCTTGCCCTGGAGACTTTCTTCTTATCTATATCATCTAAGAATGCAATTGTAGAGTTTTTCTTTATCTAGAGGTTCATCAAGAGGGATAATTCTCTGAGGGATGACTTCCTTGTCCATCATGGTCTTCAAAACACGTGATATATTGGTGACAGATCAGCCTT